CATGAATGGATTCTTCCACAATCTGTGTCTCAGTGTTGTATACTCTGTAGCCTTTAGAGCGTTCAGAATATCCAAGCATGAAACACTTCTGTGCTTTGGAATCAAACTTGCTCAGATTTTTCTTAGTGTTTAACATATAACAAATACATCCAAAAGGATGAAAATATGAAATGTTGGGCTTTTTGTTCTTCCACAATTCATAAGGAGTCTTTTTCAGAAGAGGTCTAACAGACACTCTGTTCTGAATGTAGCATGCTGTATTGATTGCTTCTGCCCAAAAATGTTTTGCCAGATTTGTCTCATTGATCATGGTTCTGGCCATTTCTTGCAAAGTTCTGTTTTTCCTTTCTACAAACCCCATTCTGTTGTGGAGTTCTAGGACAGGAAAAATCATGAGTAATGCCATTTTCAGAAAAATATTTTTCAAAATATTTATTTTCAAATTCTCCACCATGATCACTTCTGACTTTTATAATTTTGAAATTCTTTTCATTCTGGACTTGCTTGCAGAAGTCAAAGAACACAGAATGTGACTCATCCTTGTGTTTTAAGAACTTTACCCATGTCCATCTGCTAAAGTCATCAACAATGACCAATCCATACTTCTTGCCTCTGATGGATGCAGTTTTCACTGGTCCAAACAGATCAATATGAAGTAGTTCTAATGGTTTAGAAGTAGAAACAACATTTTTTGATTTGAAAGATGTTTTTGAAAACTTCCCTTTCTGGCATGCTTCACAAAGAGCATCTGAAGTGAACTTCAGATTAGGGAGTCCTCTGACAAGATTAAGTTTATTAATCTGAGATATACGTCTCATATTAATATGGCCCAATCTTCTGTGTCAGACCCATTGCTCTTCATTAACAGACAAGAGGCATTTAACATTTTGAACTTTAAGTTCTGAAAGATTTATTTTATAAATGTTGTTTTTCCTCTTACCACTAAATAGGATAGAGCCATCCTTCTAACTAATAGCTTTACAACATTTTTGATTAAAGGTAATATCATAACCATTGTCACTTAATTGACTTATGGACAATAAGTTATGCTTTAACCCTTCAACAAGTAAAACATTAGTAATAGAGGGAAGTTTACCATTTCCAATGGTGCCAGATCCAATGATCTTGCCCTTCTGGTTCCCTCCAAACTTCACGTCACCTCCAGATCTAAGTTCCAGGCTTTGGAACATAGACTTTTCTCCTGTCATGTGTCGTGAGCATCCAGAGTCCAGGTACCATGATTGGTGTCCTGACCTTGCTGCTAAGAACATCTGCAACAGGAATTATTTTGTTTTTAGGTACCCAGATCTTCTTGGGTCCTTTGGGGTTAGTTGGTTTGTAGGTTTGTCTAAACTTCTGTTTTACAACATAATGTTTATTCTGACTTGCCTTAGGTTTAAACACATAAGTACTCTTCTCAGAACTTGTGTGTTTAATGTCATTCAAGTGACCAAATTTGAATTGAGAATACAAAGGTGTCTTCCTGATGAAAAGTTTGTCAACAGGTTTTGGATTGCTTCCAGATGAAGACTCATATCCAATGCCTCTTCTGTTGTTTCCACTAACACCATAGATCATGGAAGCCATCTTGCTTCTGTCTATGCTCTTAGTGAGAAATCTCTGAAAACTAGAGTCATATTTTTCTAAAATATTTTCACATGACTTAGTCTCAGATTCAGATTCTTGTTGAGTTATTTCAAAGTCATTTTTGATTTTCAAATTTATTTCTTTTTGCTCAACAAGTTCTGTTTTCAGAAGATCAATCTCAGATTCAAGATTGCTTTTCAACTTCTTGTATTTGAGTTTGTTGTTGTTATAACTTTTAAGAACTTCTGTTAAAACTTTAATGAGTTCTTCTTTGGTAAGTTTATCCATTACCTCTTCTGCATCATCATCAGATTCAGATTCTGATTCATATCCTGAGGTACCTTCCTCTTGATCCTCTGTGCTGGCCATCAGTGCAACATTTGCACATTCTTCTTCTGATTCAGAAGATGATTCACACTCATCTGAGTCATCCCATGTTGCCATCAGAACCTTCTTCTTTTTGTTGAACTTCTTCTTGGGTTTTTCTTTCTGAAGTTTGGGGCAATCATTTTTGTAGTGCCCAGGTTCTTTACACTCATAGCACACAACTTCTTTCTTGGCAGATCTTCTGTGATTAGAAGATTCCTTTCTGTTATCAGATCTTCTGAAGTTGTTGAACTTCTTTCCCTTGTGCTTCCAGAGTTTGTTAATCCTTCTGGACAGCATGGATAACTCATCTTCTTCAGAAGAAGAAGATTCTTCAGAGCTTTCTTGAATGACCTGCAAAGCTTTAGCAGTTTTGTTAGATTTTAATGCAACAGATTTACCTTTTTCTTTCTTCTGAGGTTCATCTTCCTCAAGCTCAATCTCATGGCTCCTTAGTGAGCTGATGAGTTCTTCTAGAGAGATTTTGTTCATATCTTTGGCCATCTTCAGGGCAGTCACCATTGGTCTCCATCTGATAGGCAGACTTCTGATGATTTTCTTTACATGATCTGACGTAGAATATCCCTTGTCCAGAACTTTCAGCCCAGCAGTGAGTATTTGAAATCTGGAGAACATGGCTTCAACAGATTCAGAGTCTTCCATTTTGAAAGCCTCATACTTCTGGATCAGAGCCAGAGCTTTTGTCTCCTTAACTTGAGAATTTCCCTCATGAGTCATTTTAAGGGATTCAAACATATCAAAAGCAGTCTCCCTGTTTGTAATTTTCTCATACTTTGTATGTGAAATAGCATTCAGTAATATAGTCCTGGCTTTGTGGTGATTTCTGAAGTCTTTCTTCTGAGCATCTGTCATAGATTTTCTGTCAATCTTTTTGCCATCCCCATCTGTGGGATGTACATATCCATCTATGACAAGATCCCATAGATCAGCATCATATCCTAGGAAAAAACTCTCAATTCTGTCTTTCCAGTAGTCAAATTTCTCCCCATCAAACATTGGGGGTTTGGTGCTGATCCTATCCCTCTCTTCATATTTATTGTTAATATTTGACATTGAATTATCAGCCATGATAACAAATAAATATATATATCAAAGTATATCTCTCTGGATCTTTACTGACACTGTTAAGTGGTAGCACACTCAGAACCGGAGCTCTGATGCCAACTGAAGGTGAGATAATACTTAGAAGGGGGGGTTGAATAAGTATGAAAAATTAAGACTTGAAAATAATCACACAATTATTTTTATCCTGGTTCGTTTAAACAACTACTCCAGTCCACCCTTCCTAGAGTGATTTGCCTTTCTCAACAAGGACTTAATCCACTATTAAATCAAACTGATTACAATAGTAACACCTAAGAATAACAGTTCTTAGTCTTCTCAAGAGCTACTGATTCCAACTGAATCCTCTTAAGGAATATCCTTTACAATCTATGTAAATTAAATACAAGAGTATTAGTGCTTCTATAAAGCTTTTATCACAACAGTGATTTTTCTCTTAAGTTTAAGTACAATAAGATTCTAAGAAGAATAAGAATGAATGAGAGCTTTAGAATATAATAATTTCTTTTCAGCAAAAAGTGTAACTGAAGAATGTAGTGAAGTTCTCCTTTTATAGGCAGCTGATCCAAGGAAGCTGAACGTTGAAAAGAGAGTCCCAAAAAGGTCTGAGCCTTTTTGTCTTCACATCAAGTGACCTTTCCTAGAAGTAGATGGCACAGAAAAATCCTTTTTGTCTGTGTAAGTGTGTCTAGCACAAATAAGGAAAGAGACGTTGAATAGCTCCAACGGATATATTCTTGAATATTTCTTCTTCAGTTTTCAGCAAGTTCTTCAGAGTCTGAATGGATCAGAGTCTTCTAATGAAAATCAGAACTTTGCTATATCAGAGTCTTCTGCAGCAGGTGTGCTTTCAGCGTGTTGATCATCAGAGCATTTTTGACACAGAACTTCAGTACTTGGCAGCGTTGGTACTTTCAGAAACTTCTGTAGATTAATGCTTTGAGAAACTCTTCAATAAATATTCTTCTATGCTTCAGATGCTTCAGCTTCAGATGCTTCTGACTATCTTCAGATGCTTCTGACTCAGAATGTTCTGGAGCTTCTTGCTTCAGATCCTTCTGAAGACTACGCTCAGGATCTTCTGTAAGGAGCAATCAGATTCTTCTGTAAGGTGCATCTGGCGCTTCAGAGTCAGGATAACTTCTTGTATCTAAAAACAGATTTGCTTCTAGAGAGTTAATTTCAATTCAATCTGCAGTAGAACTCTCAAATAAATTTTAGAGTATATAATTCTTAAATATAAATTTCCTAACAGTTATCATCAAAACAAAGAGTTATTATTAAGAACCAATCTGTGTTCTAACAAATTCAACCTTATAAAATTGGTTTGTAGACTGGGAATTACCTCATTTATACAAATATGTTCAGGTCATATCTTATCTATATGTGACCTTAACCGTATGCCTTATTATACCTAATATAATCGTCTCAACTTTTTAGAGACCCTACATGGTCATATCTTATCTATATGTGACCTTAACCGTATGCCTTATTATACCTAATATAATCGTTTTAACTTTTTAGAGACCCTATATAAATGTCATAGTTAACCATAATAAAATAAATAAAAATTTTATTTAACTATGGTTTAATTGTGACAAACATTTCTTAAACTCATCTTTAGTCAAGATTTACTCGTAATAAATTTCAAGTCAACGTGATAGTTAGTTTTACACGTCCTCAAATAAGGTTTATACGCTCAAATAAGGTTCATATATTTAATACTCCCTCTATTTTAAAATAAGTGTTATATTTTGACATTTTTATACAAATTAAAAAAAAAATGTAATTAACTAAACGAGAGAGAATAACAATTTCACTAAATTATCTTTATCTTTGTTGGTTATAGATATATTTAAATTATCATTAATGTAGAATGAGATAAATTATAAATTATAAGTATTAATTAGATAATACAATTTAAAAATTAAATTTAAAATTGTATTAAAAACTAAAAGTGACAGGTAAAAGCAGAAAGTGTAGTTCTAAATGGAGACCCAAGAGAAATGATTTGTCAAGCTGCAGAACAATTGCAAGTTGATCTCTTAATCATGGGTAGTCGAGGACTTGGCACACTGAAAAGGTCAATGTTTTCTATCATTCCTTCAATATTTTTCATCTATTTTTCCTAATATTGAGGTACTAACAAATTCTTGATATTAAAATTGAAATAATAAACTTGGTATTAATTTTGGTTTCAGAGCATTTCTTGGAAGTGTAAGCGACCATTGTGCACATCATGCAAAAGCACCTATTCTCATTGTGAAACCACAAGAGGAGCAACATAAAAACCACTCTTAGTTTTATGTTTAAGCATATCTTTTAATGGATAGCAGGATTTGAATCTTTTAATATCCTTTTCTGCACTTTTTTGTAGCTAACGATGAATTTCTAAGAAATAAACTCATGTAGTTTATGTGAATGTGTTGTGAAAACCCAACAAATAAAACAACTTTACAGCCAAATAATCTAATAATATTAATTCAAAGAAATAGGTCTTATTCTTAGTTACTCATACCACGCCTCCTTGATTTTAATTTTTAACTAGTCGGATCAATATTTTATAGTTAGTTAAATATAGTCAACAATTTAAAAATGTAATTTATCTTAAAGTACTCAAGATAAATTACAGTCATTGACAAAAAAAAGTACTAGATGGGCTATATATTTTAGCAACATCTAATCAAGATTTCTAAGAGTGGTCAGTTGGCATATAAAACTTCTGTTGAGCGCAAATCACATATCATTAAATATAATGTTTGAGATGAAATAAAATTGAGATTAAAATTGAAAAGAGATTGATATTATCCAATTAGGTGAAAAATAAATATCATCTCAGCCTATCATCAATCAGAAGGATACAATCGTTATAGTTTATAGAACAGATCTTGTTCAAGTAATTTCTAAGAAGACCAGAACTAAAGTCTACGATATTAACTTGATTAATGGCTGATTCTCTGATTCACACATTTGACACATATGTATATTTCAAAGTATTTTTTTAATTTGTTTTAGAATACAACATACCAACTTAATTTGTTTTAAAATACAACATACCAACTTGAAATCTTGACCGTCCTGTTGAATGCATCTGAACCTGATCCTTTCATATATAGTACATCAATTTAGACTTTCAGAGCAAGAAGAGGAAAGTCACCTATTTTTTCCATCCTCCCAGTCTTGTTCCAGGGTCATAGTTAGTAAACACCCGAAATTCATTTCCAAGTTTACTTGAGTGATGAGGCTTAAAACCACAAGGATGCAACCCCAAGATCTCAGCTGCTCTTTCTTTCTGCACTTCACCTATAATTACAAAACCCAACTTTAGATATTATTTTACATTTTAGCAACTCTTTAAATTGATGATAAAATAATGAACATTCTATTGAGTGCCATTATGCCTAATGCAATGATACAAAACAAAAAGCATAAAGTTCATTGTTACCTGTGAGTAGAAGCAAAAATGACTCTCCAGGTTGTCTGAGAAAAGAAATTGTTTCAGCAATTTTCTCCAAGCACTCTTTACTCTATTATCAAAGCAACTAGCTTAATAAGTGAGCCAAGGTCATCATTATGTAAATTAGAAAAAATTATAGTCTCACATATAGATCCATCATCTGGTGCAAATCTTCCTTAAAGAAGGACCTAATTACATAACAAATTAAAATACCCAGGCTTGTCACCTAATTACATAGACATAGTCATGAATAATGATTCAACCGACTTTAGATTTGAGCACATCAGTGTATATGTGTATATGAGACTACATTAGTGATAAATTCAAGTTGAACACCTCATGTAGGATCCCATATACACATTAGCAGTATCTAAGGATTAACTGCATCGAGATATAAGGTTCAAAAACCTGTTTTTACAGATAAATAAATGAAACATGAGAAACAATTAATCCTCCACAACTCAACTGAGTTATAAGGCATAGATAGAGTGGAATTAAAGATCAACTGAGTAGGGGAGGATTAAAGTCATTCATCATGATAATGATCTAATGATTATGATTGTATTGACTAACAATGTAAAAACACTAACGATATATATGAATTAAATTCTCTTTTAAGACGTATGTACCAATAAAGAACCCTTACCCACTCCTCTCTCTCACAGACCAAACACTTCTCTTCTTTTTCTCTGCTGCAGAACACAACCAACACAATACGTCCATGAGCTCCACATAACTTTGTTAGCAACCTCCAATGGTCTGCCAATCACCTAATCATGTTGCATTCCTGTCGCGTGCAAGTTTATCCTCTCCATTAGCCCCCTATTCAGGAGATCTTTAATCCAACAAAGACAAAATGCAACAGTTACTTCTCAACTCTTGAAGGTGATTAGATCTATTGAGGTTTTGAAGAAGGCGTGTGAAGAAGAAATAGTATTCCACATTGATTGTTGAAAAGTTGCAACCTTTACTCAATCTCTTCAACACATTTTTCAACCATTTCCTTCTTTGGTTCTTTCTGTTAAGTTTCAGCAACTTAAACTTTAATGTATAAAAGATTTCAATTCCTCTTTAAAGTTCTTGTTTTTTGTTTCAAAGCTTACTACTTTTTTGTGGTAGTCAGTTGGAGGATTGAAGACTCTACAAGAAAAAAGTGTTAAATGAAAAACCACTGCAACACACCCGTGTATCCGACAACGAGTTAAACCACCACCCACCCACCCACCTAAACTGAGTGCACAAATGGTCAGCAGTGGGTGATGGCAGCCACGGTTTGACTTGGTTTGAGGTTTTGGACCCGAAACCAACCGCTTGTCCACCCCTACCTAAATAAACTTAAGCGTGTAAAACTACTGCAATTAACTCACCAAGTAAGGAGGATCGGCAATAATAACTTTGTAGGAATGCTTCAATTCTGATGGTAACTCCTCAGGGTGATTGTAGTCATAGAATGTGTAATCACTTCCATGTTGCTCAAAACGTTTGTCGTACTCAAGAAGCTGCACAGAAACATTTGGATCCATTTTCTGAAAATTGAAAATTGATAAATATTAAGAGAAATGGTAACATGTTCCGTTAAGACACTTGTTAATATAGTAGTACTAAAGATAGAAACTTTGTATTAAAATTTATGCTGCAGCAACAACAACAACCGAGTCTTATTCCACTAAGTGGAATTGGCTATATGGATCGATTTCCGTCATAATATTCTATCCAGGACCATGCTTCTATCCAAATTGTTAATCTCAATATCTTTCTTAATAACTTCTTTTTGTTTTTCTAGGTCTTCCTCTACCTCTACCTTATTAACTCCTCTCCACCTAATCTACTATTCTTACCATATAATCTACATATCTTCTCTACATGCTCAGACCACGTAAGTCTATTCTACTATTTATAGATTTCATAACATATGTCGCTGGGCACAACTCACTTAGCAAGACTAAAATATCAAAATCACTTTTAAATATCAAAATCACTTTTAAAATTTTGTACAAAACCAACCTATAAGGTGATAGAATGTCACTTATGAACACATTTCTAGGACATATATCATTCATTCAATGTGGACTCTCATCGCATGCCTGACATCCTACAATGCACAATTGGAGCACAACATGACCTGTCCGATACCAGGCAACCCAAACTCTACCTTCTTAAGATTTAGGTTGGTATAACTAACCCTATAAAATCGGCTTGTAATATAAGGAATGACTTTCTCTTTTAAACACTCAAATTCAATGTAGGAATCTCAACAATTATTATCAATAAACTCCTATATCATAGAACAATTAAACATGGCTAAAATTATTGTATTGAAATTGTGAACACACAAATAAAACAAACAATTTTCAACAGAAAACGCTTAAGAAACATAAAATAGAAATAAGGGAAGACCTTAAGATAAGCATAGAGGGTAGGGCAAGCGATACAGGCAACACAAGAATCACCGCCATTGCAAAGAGCGATAACCTCTTCAGCAACCGTCTTTGCAGTTTCTGCATCGTACCAGAACTGACTCAGCCTCCAATCTTCGGATACAAGAGAAACCTCGGAGTCCCCGGCGTCGGAATGATTCTGCTCCTCGGAGAGGAATTCTTGGAGAGCAGCGAGAGCATAGGAACTCAGAGCCGGTGTATCGTCGTCTTCGAGAGGAGGTAACGAGGACTCGCTGAGTTCGCTCGCCGAGTTAGGGTTCAGTTCGAGTTGCTCCTCCATGTTTGTGTAGTGCTTACCCCCAAACGACCAAAAAGTTTGTACTTATTTTTTAAAAATCATCAAAAATAGAATGACCAAAAAAACTGAATTTTAAAACGGTGAGCTAATAACTATGCAGTGTAAATGTTCTTTTTTTTTTATCACAACCATTTTAAAATGTTAACGACGGTTAATATATTTTTAAAATTAAAATTTTATTTTAACAAAATAAAAATTGAAAATACATTTAACACAAATAATAAAATAAAAATTTTGAAATTTTTATTAACTCAAAATGACAATACTAATGATTCTTAAGAATATTTTATTTTGCTCTTAAGAGCATCTTTAGTGGGAGTAAACTAAATGGGTAAACTAAGATACTTTTTGTGGGACCAAAGTGATTTGTAGGATTTAAAAAATTTATAGTTGATTTGAGTAGTTTTTACTTTAATGGTGGTTGTCTATAAGAAACCAAAACTTGACCCCACATGGTATTAAATGGTTAATAAAAATCTATTATTTATATTAAATAATTAATAAAAATTTATTATTTATGTTAAATAATGAGTTAGAGTACGTTGCTTGTGTAGAGCACGTAAACTAGTTTTTAGAGTATCCCATATGCCATGTCAGCACTACTATAATGCAAATTCCTTATTACTAACGTAAGCTATAAAGAATTTTGGTTTAACAACCCTGCACTAAAGTTGCTCTTAGAAACTTGAGTGATTTAAATATTTTAGAGTAGTTGATCTAACCATTTAAATATTTTAGTGATTTAATTGCTAAAAAAAAAAAAAAAATATATATATATATATATATATATATATATATATATATATATATATATATATATATATATATATATATATATATATATATATATATATATATATATATATATATATATGAGATTGAAACTATTTAATTTGATGTTATTTTAATTTTTGAGTCGGATTAGTCGGTCTAATAAATAAAATATTAATAATAGAATATATATATATATATATATATATATATATATATATATATATATATATATATATATATATATATATATATATATATATATATATATATATATATATATATATATATATATATATAAAAATAAAAGATTGAGTTAAAATTATTTATAGAAGGAGCTAGCCTAATGATTAGGTTGATTAATTGCTTAGCATATCAAGGTGATTAAATCAGCAAAGATAAATGAGTTTTTCTCATTTACAAATTACAAGTGAGCGTTAACAATTTTATTTCACAGTGGAAATGTGTAATGATGAAACTATTCATGTACGGTAATTATTCAATGTAATTGTCAAATTTTATATCACATGAACTCCTCTCGGTCAAACAAAGACTAAGCTACAAAATAGTTGAATCTAAAATAGAGACATATCTTTCGTACCACAAAATTTTACGTGTCACATAAATGTCAATTGGGAATATTATGTCAATATTTCAATATAATTTCACCTTGTTGTTTGTTAGTTGAAAAAAATTTTAATCTTATATTTTTCATGTGAGATATTTTAGTTTGTTCATTTAATATATAAGAAAATTATTTGTTTCATTTTAAATTATACTAAAAAATATTTTTTGAGTTTTTTCTTTTTTATTCTCATTATTTTGTCTCTTTTAAATTGTCGAAGTCACAACTTATCCCCCTAATTTTCTACTCATTGAATTTTTTAAATATTTTTTAAAATTTTCTTTAAAAAATTATATTAATTTCTTTTCGTTTGAGTTAAAAAAAAATTACAAGCATTAATTTTTAAATTCTCTTTAGAGAATTATTTAAAATTTTCTTTTTTGAAAAAGCATTGAATGATCAAATAATTATTAATGAATTCTCTTTAGATAATTATTAAAAGAGTTAAATATATCAGACATTCTCATAAGTATGTCAAAATTCAATTTTAATAACTCTAAAATTTTTCTTCAAACAATAGTCATCACAAACTTTTTAAGACCTTTTTAAGACTTGAAGTTTATTTTTTCTCTTAATTTTCACTAAGAGAGGCTTACGTGGTATGCATTGTGAAATTTTTTGATGAGGTAGCGTATTCAACGTAGAAAAAACTCTGACATAAATGTCACATGTCAATTGTTTTTATTTTAAAATTTATATATATATATATATATATATATATATATATATATATATATATATATATATATATATATTCAAAAATGATAGCTAATTTGTAACTCATTCCTAACTAATGATATATTTTCTTTTATTTTAAATCATTGATATACACTTTTGATAGTTAATTTGCAGCTAATTAGATTTTATTTTGAATCATTCATATACACCTTTTGAATCACACTCAATGCATGTCCATTGAATTGCTATATTGGAGTTGGTCTAACGGTAATTGCAAATATAATTAGAAAATGACAAATAGTATGACTATATGTGGAAGTTCAATGAATAGCCTTAAATTATCATGGTTAACGAAATTTATCCATTAGTAACTGACACCAATAATAAAAAAAGAAATAAATTAAATTAAAATAAAAATGTTTGTAAAAAGATATTCACTGTTAGTAGAAAAACATCAAAAAGAGAATATTTATTGGTGCAATTTTTATACATTGGATGCATTATTGAATAAATTAGAATATACTAAACTACAAGAAACACAACTATTACTATCACTACTACATGCACTCCTGGAATTAACAAATTCTAAAAATTCATTCTTAAACATAAAGTTGGATGCAGAAAAACTACAGTATGCATGCAACTCATCACTAGAGCAACAAAAAACAAATTATAATTTAATTTTTGTTCAAATTCATTCACATTAACTAATAGGTAAATTACTAATATTGAAGAAGTGCAATAAATTACTAATATTGAAGAAGTGCATTCACATAAATTAATAGATAAATTACTAATATATGTAAATTCATTTGCATCTTAATCAATTTTGCAATTTCTTTCGGAAGTGCAATTACCAACGGTCTATAATTACTTTTAATAAGATGGATAATGGTTAGTAAATAATCACTATATAATAATCAATCCATGGAGGCACTTTTAAAAGCTGGTTTAGTAAAACTAAAGAATGGTGTAAGTATTCAATAGTATATATCACCAAATGGTGACACAGCAGAAGGTAAGACACAGTTATTAGTTAGATATTAAATCCTTTCATTTGTTTCAGCTTTCAGTGTTGGTACATGTTGCTTAATTATATTATGTTTTACAAGACATGGAAATGCAGAATGATGAATACGTGCATCGCAAAAGTTGCTTACCAGCCATTCATTTCTCCTTCTATTGTGTTTATATTGTTGGTTGCTCCTTTAAGAACTAGAAAAAAAAATCATTTGTTGACAAGTGTTTGCATTTTCTTTTTACTAGACTGTATTTTTTTATATATTTGTTATAAATTAGCTACGAAGTTACGATTTTAGTTACAGATTAGCTACGAGTTTTTCTAGGTTCATGAGCAATGTTGATTTTAGTCATGTGATATGTTACGTCAGCATCTTGTCATGCTGACACTACCATGCCCAAACACCAAAAAAAAAAAAACTTTTATGTGTCATGTCACGTCAATTTCCATTAACGGCCGTTAGCAGGAGACAAAAAGTGTAGATGAAGAATAATAAAAAAATCATTCTTTAAAGGAAATTTTTAGAACATAAAAATGATCATATTTAGAGAGACTAAAAGTATATTTAACCCTTATTAGAATTCATCTTGGTTTGAAAAATTATATTTAGAGAGACTAAAAGTATATTTAACCCTTATTAGAATTCATCTTGGTTTGAAAAATTATTAGAAACATCGTTATACCAAATCTTGGTTTGAAAAATTATTAGAAACATCGTTATACCAAATACTATGAATGATTTATACTATATTCAAATGAATTTTGTATTATTAAAATGTGTATTTATAGACCAATTATCTATCGTACAAGTATGGTTAAATTTGGAAGAGTCCTAAAGTATTTCACACTTCAATCGATTTGATTTAGGTCCTAGGAAATTATTTATAGTTATAGTCAATCCTTACACTGCTCTGATTAGTCCTATATGTACAAGCTTGATTTGGAAAAGTATCTAACAGCACCTTTAGAGTAAGTTTACCACCAACTTCGGTATTTTAATGGGTGGGGGAAATTGTTTGTCATATCTCAATCTTGTGATACTTGCAAAAATGGCAATAGACTTGTTTGTCAGACTTATATTTGACCTCTTGTCATACCTATCTCAAAATTGTTTGGCATACTTATCTCTATCTTTTGTTCCTTGCAGAGATGGCAAAAACTTGTTTATTATACTTTAGCTTTGCTCTCTTGAGACTAGTTTTTATCTTCGAAGAGAAGTAATTCAATAAAAGGAGTTTTGAATTAGCTATAAAGATCAATTATCTAGTTATATTGGTGTATGGGTTGCTTTCAATGCAATTTTATTGCTCATTGAGAATTAATTTTAGAGTGAACCATTATAATTGACTATAGTTATGGAAAGCATTGTTGATTCACTCAACACTATCTATCTGAGATTGTACTAAAGAATCTAAAGGTACTTGAAGTAAAAAGATTGCTATTGTTTTCATTTTGCTAAACAAACTTTGCAGCAGGAGTATGGAGGACTAAAACAACATTTAAAAAGGTAACATATTGAGAGCATTGAAGATTGAAAACCATAAAGTACACACCTCTAAACATATGACATGTCATGTAAGCCCATATGGCTTAACAAGTCTTTATGCACATTATTACTTATATCACATGATTATTACTTATATGCACATTATTACTTATATCACATGATTAGACATAAATGAAACATAAAGTGCACATCTCTAGAAATATGTCATTTGCGCATGTCAGCACATCTGGCGTAACAAGTATTTTTGTTCATTCTTCATTTTCTCCCATGATTAGGCATAAATGAGCCATTGTGTGGCAAAAAACATTACCAACATTCAAATTATCAGATTATAATTTAAGGTAACCAAACGCATCATGGTTTTGGAAAACAAACACATTACACGTTTAAGGAACAAAATTACTCATTATGTACCTAAGCATAAAGCTAAGAAACGAAAGTTAAAAACATAACTAATTCAAAAAAGTCTGAGGGTGCCAACTGCTGTCACAAGCTGCTTAGCGATTTGCCTTGGCAACTCTCTCAATTTCATCTTTCTTCTTTATTGCATAACTGAAACAAAGTATAATATTTATTTAATAGCAAGCCCCGAATAAATAAGAAAAACAAATTACGAAGATTAAACTTATCATCACAAACTTTATGTACCAGAGAACAAATTGTATAAGCATACCTGTTGGATGAACCTTTCGCTGCATTAATTAGTTCGTCAGCCAAACATTCAGCCATTGTCTTAATATTTCTGAAAGCAGCTTCGCGTGCACCAGTAGTGAGAAGATATATAGCTTGATTAACACGACGAAGGGGTGAGATATCCACTGCCTGTCTTCTCACAACTCCAGCAGAACCAATTCGAGTAGCATCTTCACGAGGACCACTGACCAAAAGAAAAATAATTAGATTGAAGTTTCAAAAGCATAATTAATTCATAGCTTTCAATATGTTGAATAGCTAATTGTAATTTTCTAGAAGAAAGTATCAAGGGTGAGAACTGATGTTTATTTAATAAAAAGAACAATCAAAATTATTATATCACTAAAGGGGTAAGGGTAAGCCATGATTTCAATTATTTTAAATACAATCATGATTCTATTTTATAGGAGAATGCTCAGATAGAGCTAATACAAAAATGCCATCATTCAGGCAATCAATCCAATAGGGAAATAATCAATCATCATATCATTCTCCAACAATTGTCATCGCTACATACTTTAAAACCAAAATAGATTTTTTACATAGTAAGACATCTAATATAGTCTTGATTGATAACACATGAGTGGTAAGATATCACAAAAATTGGGCATGCTCTAACAACATATATTACTTGAATGTTAAAATAAACTGGAGATGATCAGATAGAGCTAATACAAAAATGCCATCATCAAGGCAGTCAAACCAATAGGGAAATAACCAATCATCACGTCATTCTCCAACTATGATTTTCACTGTCATTTGCTTTTAAAACAACCATGGGTGGTAAGATATCACAAAAGTTGGCACGCTCTTAACAAAATTTATCATAAATGGTCAAAAACAAAATGAAAAGAAAAACACATTAGTTGAAAATTAAAATTAACTAGGAGATAGTGAGAATGATCAGATAGAGCTAATACAAAAATGCCATCATCCAGGCAATCAAACCTATAGGGAAAAAACCAATCATCATGTCATTCTCCAACAATGATTTTCATTTGCTTTAAAGCCAAAGTAGATTTTAAAACTAAAACGTGTCTAATAAAGTCATAACCCATACAAGGTAACATAGCACAAAAGTTGGCACAATCTGACAATATGTCTTCAAGGGTTTATTTTTATAAAAAAATAACTTGAAATAAACACAATATAATAAACTGGGATATAGGGAGAAAGATCAGATAGAGCTAATACAAAAATGCCATCATTCAGGCAATCAAACCAATAGGGAAATAACCAATCATCATCTCATTCTCCAACTTTGATTGTCATTGTTTTATGCTTTATACAAAATTAGATTTAACAACAAAACACATCTAAAAGACAGTCATAACCCAGGAGTGGTGAGATATCACAAAAAAAAATGGCAAGCCCCGACAACATTTAGGGTAAAGGGTATATTTTTATCATAAAAAAATACCAACTGCATCTAATTGTATCTAGCTAGATATTAAAAGAAAAAGGAATTAGAATGTTAGGAGAATGGTCAGACATAATACCAATTGCATCATTAAGATTATCAAACCAATAGGGAACCAAATATTCATCACTCCATCCTCCAAACAAAACCAACCATTAAAACATTCACTACAATAATTACAAACAAAATGTATATACCAACTGCATCTAATTGTATCTAGCTAGATATTAAAAAAAAGGAATTAGAATGTTAGGAGAATGGTCAGACATAATACCAATTGCATCATTAAAGATTATCAAACCAATAGGGAACCAAATATTCATCACTCCATCCTCCAAACCAAACCAACCATTAAAACATTCACTACAATAATTACAAACCAAATGTATATACCACAAATTAGAAATCTAATTTCACAGCAAACAAAGCATACCTGTTGACAACAGCATCAACAATGACCTGAATTGGATTCTGATCAGTAAGCAAATGAATAATTTCCATGGCATGCCTGATGATCTTGACAGCCTTGAGCTTCTTTCCATTGTTCCTACCATGCATCATAAGAGAGTTTGTGATCCTCTCCACAATAGGGCACTGAGCTTTCCTAAACCTCTTCACAGAGTATCTACCAGCAGTGTGAGGAACGTATGTGGCATGTTTGGATGCCACAACTCCAATGTAATCACTCAAAGAGACGTCAGAGAGCTAAAACACAACAAAAACAAAATCACAAAAAAAACAAAAGTCAGAAATTCTTAATAAAAATTAATTTAATCCGATAAAAACAAGTTATTTGTACGAATTAATCCGATAAAAACACAAAAATGAAAGGAAAAAGATTAAACCTGGACATCATCAAAGCTCCAGCGGTTAAAGAGTTTAACTTCGATCTGTGATGGATCTGAAATGACAATGGCGGGTTCTTGAACAACTTCAGCCATGGCTGCATAAAGAATCAACCATGTTAGTTAACGAAATCGAAAGATGAATAAATACAGATAATGAATAAATACAAATAATGAATAAAGCTAGGAAAAACAAAGAACTTGCTGTAAGAAAATGGTGTGGCGAATGAGTAACCAAATCACACGCTGTAGAGGAAGTGAAGTGTATCAAAAACCCTAGATTTTGTGAATTATCGATTTAGGGATAAACTTATAAATGATCCAAACCCTAGACAAAATAATTTATGGGCCGGCCCATTAGTTTTGTTTGTCAGAGGAAATCATTATTTGAATCCACTCTTTTACTTACCCTCCTCTTTTCTAATACTTTTTTTAACAAAAAATTTGCTATCTAAAATATATGATTAAATCCAAGATGATTAAATCCAAGGCGAGAAAAGTGATTAGATCTTTGTTTTTGAATCTTTTTATTTTTACCTGTTGATTAACTGTTGAGTTTCATTTAAATTATTATTTAACATTAACATAACCATTATATCTAATTTCTTGGTGTGTAGTTCACTAATTTATACCATAATCTCTTAATTACTTAAACAAACTCAAAGCTAAATTATGTGTTCTTAATGCGTTAATTCATAAGCACCAACTTCTAATTACTTATCCCTAGTAAATTACAAAGTTGAATAAATTGCATAGTTCATATAACTAGACTAACGGTCAGAAATTCCTAACTATCTAGATCAATTCGTAAGCCCGTAAGCGACAAAAAGTATTAAATACAAGAATAATTTAAATAAAATAATAACATTAAAGTACTAAACAAATCCCAAACAGATATATGATTTGTTCTGGCCTGGGCCCCGGCTTGACGGGGTAGGCCCAGCCCAATGATATTCGGCCAAGCCCAACCCAGCTTGGGCCACAGCCGTCGAGCACAGAGTCCCCGTCGGGCAGACAATGACGCCCCGTCGGGGAGAACCTTCCTCTCTGGTCAACCAGACACTGCCCCCATCTGGCAGAACCTTCCCTCCGCGGGCCGAATTTCCTCTCTTGTCGAGCATAACAACGTGTCTTTCGCACGTTCTCCACGTGCTCCCCTCCGCAGAGACACGTCCTCCACCAACTGCCCACCTCCGAAAGAGCAGGTCAACCCACTTTCCGGAGTTCACGGAGCAGTTGAACTAGTGCGAAGATCACGTTCTAGTCTTCACTACGCCACGTAAGCCCTAGCAGTCACTTGGGTTGGGCCTGGCCATCCAGCCCAACTCAAATGACCGTTGGCCCTGCGATGGGGTCTCTCTATAAATACCTTCTTCTCCAAAAGGGTCAGGTATTCTCTTCTTACCCCCTTTTTATACTTGTGATCACTCTGCCCAATCCCTTACTTTGGCATCGGAGTGTCTTGCAGGTACACCCTCGTCCTCTTCTTCAACACCGGTGAGCAGGCAGTAAGTCAAAGACACGTGGCAGTCAGTGAACCCCTTCTGATCAGGTCAGATCAGTGGCGCCGTCTGTGGGAACATAAAACTTCCTCGTTCCTCCGAGCAGAAAACCAAAGTTTTACCAACATTCCGCGATCATGGCTATCCCACACCACAACGATGCTGTTCACGACCTCATCCTCGCTCCCCGCCGCGAACGGCGGCAAGCAAACAGAGACATCCCAACCTCCGGAGACCGACGAGAGGGATGGCCAGACTGCCTCTCCCTCGTCCGCGGAAGCTGCACACCAGACTATTCTTCGACCAAGGAGCTCGGCAGAGTTCCAGCTCATCCCTGTCCCGGCCGGAGCCGACCCGACAGTGGGCGCCCTCTTCACGGCCATCAACCAAATGAATCAACTGTTATTCCAACAGAACGTACGGATTGGTGCACTAGAGCACGAAGTCCCGTTGAGGTCCCCTCTGCGGGAAGACCATAACGGAAATTCGAGGAGTCCATCTCCTCGTCCCCGGGAGAAATGGCCAGCCAGGGGGGATCCCCCGACCAAACCTCTGAGGGTCGAACCCCCGGTCAGGAGGTCGAGGGCGCGAAATTAAGCACTTCTGCCACCAGGTCGATCACCCCCTCAATCACCAACTCTCAGTGACGAGGACGACTACAGGACCCCCTTGTCCCGAGAGATCATGGTCACTCCCATCCCCCACGGGATGGAGAAGCCCACAACACTCTCGATGTACGACGGTACCTCCGACCCAGACGACCACCTGGAAGACATCGAGGCCATGCTCGACTACCGAAATGTCCGATGAGCTATCAAATGCAGACTCTTCCCGACAACACTAAGGAAAGGTGCCATGACATGGTACAAAAGCCTGGAGCCAGAATCGGTCACGTCGTGGAGAGATCTGAAGGACCTCTTTTCAAGATACTTCACAACATCTTGGCGCCATCCGAAGACGGAGGCCACGCTAGGCGCCATAATCCAGGCTCCCGATGAGCCCTTCCGGAAGTACATCGAAAGGTTCACACGAGAGGCATTATAGGTAACAACATCAAACGAGATGAAATGTTACTTGATGGAGCAAGGCCTGCGCCGAGACTCCAAATTCTACGAAGTTGTGGCCATACACCGACCAGCCTCTCTACAAGACTTCCTCGACAAAGCCGCACATTACATCCGATTCGAGGAGACTCAAGCGGCCAACTCCGCCCAAGACACTCGAGACCGAGAGACCCCCCGTGGGTCCCGAGAGGACGGAGCCTCGAGCCACCGGCGCGGAAGAGATTGTCGACGGGAGGATCGTCCCCGCGAGTAACGCGGTCCTGCCGGCCGATTCACAGAATGTACAGCTCTAGTCGCTTCCCGCGAGCACATATTGGCTGAGTGCGCCAAAACGGAGTTTGTCCAAGCAGATGTCCGCTTCCCCAGACCGACACCCCCCAAACCCAATATGGACAAATCGAAGTTTTGTCGCTTCCATAAAAGCCACGGGCACGTTACAGAAAACTGCATCCACCTCAAGGACGCGATCGAAATCTTGATCAAGGATGGACACCTAAAAAGATACACTCGGGGAGGAGAAGCCCCGCGGCAGGATGCTCCCGAGGCCAAGAGAGTCGAAGACCTCCCCTCTTTTGACGGTGACAATGATCTGCAAGTTGCCCTCAGTATCAGCCGGCCTGAGGATTAGTTCGCGCTCAGAAAATTCGGCTTCCCCGCCGAACCTGATCTTCCTGACGAGCCTGTACGCCCCACCAGCCGATGGGAGTATTTTCCGAAGGCCATGGTCATCTCCGGCGGATCCCCGAGGAACCTATCTGTGGGATCGATTAAAAGGATGTTCGAGGAAGTCATCACCAGCAACTCCGGCAAAATGAGCACCCTCGACAAGTTTTGTGGCCGATCCAACCCGATCACTTTCTCCTCGAGGAGCTTTCCGGGGGCTCCCCTAACTCAAACATCCCCCTCCTGATACGGGCACAGATGGAAAACTTCGACTTCAGACGCATCCTGGTCGACGACGGAAGCTCAGTGGACATCATGTACACCCACCTTTTCACAACCCTCCAACTCGACGAGTCCAACATGTCCCCCTACATGGGCTCTGACCTCCAGGGGTTCAACGGAACGACAACAAGGCCGTGGGGGTACGTGGAATTAAAGGTCACCTTCGGGGGAAAAGAAACGGCCAATGAGGTTAATGTACGCTTCCTAGTCATCGAATGCTTGTCCCTCTACAACTGTATCCTAGGCAGGACGACGATGGCAGAGCTCACCGCGGTGCCCTCCACCGTCCACCTAAAAATGAAGTACTACACAAGGCGGGGGGCCGTGGTCACCCTAAACGGTGACATTGAGGCTGCCCGGAGATGCTTCGAGGCCGCGCTGAAAGGCCTAAGTACAATCGCCCCAACAACCAAAAAAGCAGCGCCCACCGCTACTCCGAAGAGAGAACCCAAGGAGCCCGTCGGCTCGGTAGACCTCGACAGCTACTTCACCGAAGAATCCGACCACAAAGACGAAGCCAGCGACGCTTCCCCATCCAACGGGCAGCCCACCCAGCGTGTCCCATCCCAGACGGTGACTTTGAGATCGTGACCCTCGGGGACGACAAGACTAGGACCGTGAAGATCGGAGCAGGACTGCCCGACCTGGCGAAGAAACAAATGAAGGCCTGCCTCCGCGAGAACGCGGACCTCTTCGCCTGGAGCACCGCGGAGATGCCCAGAATCGACCTCGAGGTCGCCTGCCATCAGCTATCCATCAACCCAACCACCAAGGCCGTAGTACAACGTAGGCGTAGGCAGTCCCCCGAAAAGTCAGCGGCTGCTGAAAAAGTTGTAAAAGACCTCCTAGAGGCAAATTTTATTTCGGAAGCCCGGTATTCAACCTGGCTGTCCAATGTTGTACTTGTTAAAAAGAGTAATGGAAAATGGCACATGTGTGTTGATTACACCGATCTCAACCAGGCATGTCCTAAGGACGCCTACCCCCTCCCTAACATCGACAAGCTCGTCGACAACTCGGCAAGCTTCAAACTCTTGTCCTTTATGGACGCGTACTCGGGATACAACCAGATCCCCATGGACAAACGCGACAAACAAAGCACGACCTTCATGACGGCGTCGGGCAACTACTACTACAACGTAATGCCCTTCAGCCTAAAGAACGTCGGTGCCACATACCAACGAATGATGAACAAAGTCATGTTCGAGGTATATATGGATGACATGATTGTCAAGTCCTGCACGGAAGTCGATCACACAATTCATCTCAAAAAGGTCTTCGACACAGCGAGGCAATGCAAAATGCACTTCAACCCGTCTGTGCATCGATTACCGTCAGCTGAACAAGGTGACCATCAAGAACAAGTATCCTTTACCAAGGATTGATGATTTGATTTATCAGTTGGTGGGAGCTCGCGTGTTTAGTAAGATCGACTTGAGGTCGGGTTACCATCAGATTAAAGTGAAGGAAGGTGATATTCAGAAGACGGCATTTAGAACTCGGTATGGGCATTATGAATATGTAGTGATGCCTTTTGGAGTGTCGAATGTGCCGGGAGTGTTCATGGAATATATGAACAGGATCT